GAAAAAAGAAAGAAGGTCGGCGAAAGTGCAAAAAACAGGGTCAATGCAATTTGGTCATCATATTGTACATTACAAATTAAATAAAAAAAAAAGGCTAAAAAAGTTGGAAAAAAATTGTCATAAATGTAATGACTATATTAACCCCAATGAGAAATACAAAACATAAGTAGATGAGGGGGCATTTTCGTCCAAAAAAGGACACGTGTCAAGCCTCAAATCCCTTACATTTTTGCTTATATGTAAGGGGGAGATATAACTATTGTTATATCTTATATTATTATATATTATATTATTATTATATACTTATTTGATGTGATGGGATAAGACATAAAAATATGTTTGTTTATGAAAGTTTTTGGGTTTGTTTGGATTTTTTGGTTTGGTTTGGTTAATTTTAAAAATGTGGTATAGTTAGTTGTTTGTGGGTATATTAAAATAATATTTAAAATAAAATAATTAAAATTAGTTTGATGTAAAAGTAGGAGAGAGAAGATGTGATGTGATGATTAGTTAAAATAATGTGAGTGGATGAATAGTGAATTAAGGTTGATGTAGTGTGTATGAATGATTGATTGATATTATTTAATTATATTGATAATATTGATGATAGTGGGGGTTGAGTTAAAATTGAGTTAAAAAAATGGTTGAGTTAAAAAGTTGGAATTTTTTTGAAAAATCTTATAAACAAACATGGTAAGTAAATGGTGTCCAAGTGGATGCGACTCTACTCCAATTTTTAAATCAACAGAAGAGAAAAGAAAAAACAAAAAATAAAATAAAAAGAAAAGATGCATCTGAGTAAGTTTGCAGCAAAATGCAAGGTTTCAGATTCCAATTTGATAACAACGAGAGAAAATAAAATGAAAGATTTTGTTTGGGCTTTCTTCAGCTGTGAGGAGCGCTTCAAATCTAGATTCTCAAAGAAATTTAGATCCAAGCTACCGGAGCTTCAAAATTCAGATTCTCAAAGAAATTTAGATCCAAACTATTGAATATTCACAGCAAAACATGAACATGAACAAAAAAGAAGTGGATTCTTGTGGTGATTTTTTCTTTTTTATTATTTAGGAATGAAAAATATATATAACATAGTGGTAGATGTTCATAAAAAATAGAAGAGATAAACGTGAAGAAAATTGGGATGAGAGACAAACTTCATGAATATATTCTCCGGTGGAGATGTAGCCGTTTTTCGGCAAAAATTGACTCCGAGTAAATTACGGGCCCTTCTGTTTGTCCCATTTTTGTCATGTTTTTCGTGATTATTTTTCCTTTCTTTTTCCCCATTTTATGTTTCTTTTATTAGTCTTGTCGTATGTTTTCATTTATTTAGAGTCTTTTATGTTTTTTCGATTATTTTTTTTGTTTTCTCCGTTTTTGTCGTCTTGAGTGATGTGCATGTTCAGCTTCTTGATTGTTTGTTATGGGGAAGTAAGATCAAATTCGTAGACGGGTTCGTGGCCTTTACACTAGAGAAAATGGGACTAAATTCCGTTTCCAAGCGAGCGAGACCGAGCCTGAGACATGAGCAGTACAAGGAAGCTTACTACATCCAACACACCTCACGACATCAATTTTCTCCTTCATGGCGCAAGACCAAAGTGACGTAGTCAACCCGAGCCTCCTCCACGGCACACTTCCATCTCCACCTCCATGGCGCAGCACCACCACGCTGCTGAGACGCTTCGATAGTCCAGCAGCTTCACGTCGGCGAACTACTCCAGATTTTCTCCTCCACGCCGTGAGAAAGGCCATCACGCAGCTCCTCCGCACCGTGCCAACCTCCTCTCCTCACCGTGAGATAACTCCGGCAGCCCAACAAGCTGTACGCCTACACCTCTCACTGCTCAGACCTGGACCACGAAGCTCACGGCTAGAGTTGCTCCTATCGCGCCGCGGTACTCTCACCCAGCACGCCGCGGAAACCTACTCCACTCCTTCTCCGTCGCGTCGTGGCAGTCAGGGTCCTCGCGCCGCGCCGTCATGTCACGCCGTGAAGATGACGTTCCTCGCGCCGCGCCACCATGTCACGCCGTGAAGAGGCCGTCCCTCGCGCCGCGGAAAGCCCGCCACGCCGCTGCGCCCTGCGTTTTTCCCTGCTCCGCCCAGAATTCAAGGCCGCGGCCGCGACTCCTCCTTCACCGCGGCAGCGGCGATCAGAAGGGTCCCCAGTTTTTTGGACTTCGGAAAATAAATTTCGCGGCCTCGGAGAGCAGCCACGGCCGCGAGACTTACATCACCGCGACCTCCAGATAAGTCGCGCTTAACAGATTTTTAGTTTCAGATTTTTGGGACTCGTTCATTATTCATGCTTCACCTAGGTTTTAAGTTCGGTGTGGTTCCTTAGTTCGAGAGACGGTTCTTTTCACTTCTCTTTTAATAATTTCCGACGAAGAACACGGATTCGACTTCGGATTTTGCTATTTCTTTGGACTCAAGCTTGTTTATCGGATTCAACGTTCGAGATTTATTAATCGTAAGACTCTCTTAATTTATCCATTAAATATAATTTCTTTGATTGAGATGATCATTACAGTTGATTCCATTATGAATAGCTAAATTCATATGCTAGGGATTAAGGGATGATGTTTTGATTCCGTTTGTGATTGTCGGGCTTGAGATTGTTCAATTTGTGCGAGCTCATATTTTAACTAGGATTTTTACGATCATTGTTCTCGAATTTTGTGAATTGTTGAAGGGTGACACTTCAATGTCCAATTATTTTAATTGAATTCGTTTAATGCGTGCAAGATTTTTGAAAACTTTAAAAAGGCTAGTTGATTAACCAACCTCTAGTCAAATTTAATCGACTCTTAGAACCGAAAGGGGAGGAGTCGGTCGAAATAGACTCGTATGAACTAGGCTTGTTCGTAGCTGTATTGCCTAGGCGTTAATTGAATTGTTAATTTGTCAGTCGAGCTTGTTCTCTTGTTACGAAAAGTTATTGAGAATGAAAACTCGAACGGTAGGTTATTCAAATCACTTAACCGAACAATCACTTGCCCATCAATTGCATTCTCGAACCAAAACAGATATCCCCGACTCCCTAGCTCGTTAAATCCTATTTGTTCTTCGTCTCTGCGTGCTATTTTTACTGCTTTATTTGAATTCCCGTGCTAGTAGATAAGTAAACCAAACCCAACCATTTGGATTAGTATGTTTAGGAATTTTATTTCTTTTTGTGTTCTTGAATAAACGCGCATTGTATTTCGGCTAACCTTCCTCGTGAGACACGATTCGGTGTTTGAATCTTTCGATTCTACTCCGGAAAATATTTACAACACCTTCCTCTAGCGCCAAATTATTGTCAACAATTTTAGTAACAAACAATGTATTATTCGAATTTGTATGAAATATTGGGAAAATATTGATGTTATATGAATGTGTATTTTGTGATTTTTGAGAGATAAAAAGACTCTCTCTCTCCTCTTTTCTTTTCCTTTCCTTATCCGAATGAGAGAGAGAGTGCTCCCTCAACAGTGGAGGGTCTCCCCTTTTATATGGCCTCACTAGTGGCCTTTTTACAATATAATAATAAACAAATAAGATGTGATCGCGTAGGGCCCAATAATTAGGACTGACAGCTACGACTGGCGTTTTATCTTGTTGACGGCGTCCGCGGGAGTCAGTTGTCTTGCAAGACCCGGGTCGACCGATCACTTTAAACTCTGCTCGGCTCGGAAGTGGAAGATCTCGATAACTGCAGCTCGGTCAGTTCTAGATTGGTTCTGAAAACCTGCTATTTATATATTTAGTTATTACATGTTTTAACCGTCGTTCATTTTTCCACGTGTCAATTTTTTATTAATTGTGGCCAAATTGGGTATTAACAAATATCATTTCTTATTATAACCATTAAATTGTAAATATATTTTAAAAGCTAATAACTTTTGTATTTTTTATCAGTTTTACATATATAATATATCAAAATAATCATCTTTTGATGAGCTTTGATTGAACATTTGTATTGTATGTGTGAAAAAGTAAATTATATTTATCTTTATAACAATAATAAAATTGTTTTTAATATTAATTAGAAAAATAATATTATTTATTAATTAATATATTTATATTTCAAGTACTTATATGATGTAAGTTATAAAAATTACTATAATATAACACATGTAAGTCGCACAAGTAACTAGTGTCAAAATAATTTTTCTCATTAATTTAAAAATTTAAAAATAATTTGTAACAAACACTCGTGTAATACACGAGTATTGTACTAGTTAAAGTATATTACAAATAGTTTTATATGTTAACAGCTAACAAACATCTAATTTTACCAAACATATTTTTATAAATCACTAATATAATTAACCGTTAAAAAATTCAAAACTGCTAACACGATCTGCTATCAGCTACAACTAACCGTTGATTGCCAAAATAGGCCAAATTTGTGCTTTTGTACGCGACATGTGGTGTAGTCATCTAATCTAGATTGAACTATAGGGAGGTGCTACGGCGTTACGGAACCATTCCGTCAGGGTTTGCAACTAGATCAACTATCTCCAATGATTACATGATGATCTAACAGTTACAAATCTCGATGAAATGGTTCCGTAGTGAAACCGTACCCGTGAAATGCGGATGAGTGGTTGTTTTATAGTATGTAATTTTGCGTTTTTAATTAAATTTATCGTTGAACAAAATCCATTGTGCACAATTATCAAGTTGTCACATGCACTTCGTTATGCACGTCATTTTGTAGCTATTTAATCTACTTATTCTATTTTCATCATATTTAAAAGTGTTATATTACACCGGAAGATTCCTACTGCCAATTCAATTTTCAACTTTGTGCTATTTGTTTATTAATATATCACTATTAATTATGCAAAATCTGTGATTTTCCATTAAAATGGAGATCGAGCCTCGCCGACGAGATCCATAGCCCATAGCATAGCTATCATTCTCTTCACATACCTATTAAATTAAAAATCCCCTTTTGCTTACACAGTCCATAACACATACCTTCCTTCTCTCTCTTTCTATCTCTCATGGCGTCGATTTCGACCCTATCGCCACTTCCCCTGCTTTCTTCTCCGGCGACTTCTTTGTCGCCTCTAAAAAACCCATTTTTCGGACAATTTAACAAAAACCCATCAAGAAAATGTTGTCGGAGAGTTAAAAACAGCAAAGTTACCAGCTTTCTTGATTTGGAACCCAAGTCAAAACCAGAGCCCCTGAATTTCGACCTCCCCCGGTTCAACCCTGCTGCAGATCGGACCCGGTTCGACGTCATCGTCATCGGTGCAGGTCCAGCCGGTCTCCGGACCGCCGATCTGATCTCCCAACACGGTGTCAAGGTATGCTGCGTTGACCCTTCACCCCTTTCCGTGTGGCCCAACAACTACGGCGTTTGGGTGGACGAGTTCCAGAGTTTAGGACTCGAAGACTGTCTGGACAAGACGTGGCCCATGACCTGTATTCACATCAACGACCAAAAGACCAAGTATTTGGACCGCGCCTACGGCCGAGTCAACCGGAACGAGCTGAAATCCAAGTTACTCGCCGGTTGTGCCGCTAACGGCGTTCGATTCCACGAGGCCAAGGCTCGGGGAATCGAGCACGACGAGTTTGAGTCCTCGGTGGCTTGCGATGATGGGGCCCACTTGAAAGCCAGCCTCGTCGTGGACGCGAGCGGGTTCGGGAGCACCTTTGTCGAGTACGACAAGCCGAGGAATCCCGGTTACCAACTCGCGCACGGCATCCTAGCCGAGGTCGACGGGCACCCCTTTGACCTCGACAAAATGGTTCTCATGGATTGGAGAGACTCTCATTTAGGCAACGAGCCGTATTTACGCGCCAACAATTCCGAGCTCCCGACGTTTTTATACGCTATGCCGTTCGACTCCGACTTGATCTTTCTAGAAGAAACCTCGCTCGTGAGCCGTCCGGTTTTGCCCTACGACGAGGTAAAGCACCGGATGGTGGCGAGGCTTAGGCATCTCGGCGTAAGGGTTAAAACGATTGTGGAAGACGAGAAGTGCCTGATCCCGATGGGTGGCCCTCTCCCGAGGATCCCCCAGCGCGTGATGGCGATCGGGGGCAATTCTGGAATTGTGCACCCCTCGACGGGGTACACAGTGGCCCGGACGATGGAGCTGGCCCCAGGGCTTGCCAGGGCTGTGGTCGAGTGCCTCGGGTCGACCCGGATGATTCGTGGGGGCCCGATGTGTCACAGGGTGTGGGAGAGTGTGTGGCCTCGGGAGAGGAGGTGGGAGAGGGAGTTTTACGATTTCGGGATGGAGACGTTGCTGAGGCTCGATTTGGAAGGGACGAGGAGATTTTTCGATGCGTTTTTCGAGCTCGACCCGAGACTCTGGCAGGGGTTCTTGTCGTCGAGGCTATCGATTGGGGAGCTTTTCGGGCTCGGGTTGTGCCAGTTCGGGAACGGATCGGGCCTTGCCAAGTTGGATATGGTGACCAAATGCCCTGCCCCAATGGTTAGGATGGTGGGTAATTTGGCACTTGAAGCTATTTGATTTAAGGGGAAATAATGTAGGTTGTTTTATGAGTGTTTTTGTCCACTAATTTTTGTTATTCAAAATGTAGTTTTGACCATATTTTGGGATTTCATTTAGTGTAGGAACCAAACTGAAAATACACACAAGCAAAAAACTTCAACAGACAAGCTAGATATGAAGTAATACATTACTGCAAGAACCAATTGTTGTTGAGTTTTGCCACGAGGCCTTTGTTGTCCAAGCAGCAGCACATATACTTCCGGCCAGCTTGCACCGCTTTGAGCAAAGACCACCTCACAGCTTTAAGCCACATACCTTCTACACTTCCTGAAAACCACAGTAGCTCCTTGAATATGAGAGTAGATTCCCCTTCATTTTTAGCTACACACTCCACAGAAATCTGGTCAAAAGAAGAAATATGGGCACTGACAGTGAGAAACCGCCGACCTACCTGCTGCAAAAATTTTCCTCACTTTCTGATCTCCCTGAACCTTAACACTCTCAATACAACCCACCTTGGCAGTCACCTACTCAAATTCAGAACACTCTGCCTTGGCTCCCTCAATGGAGGATTGTTCGATTCTTGTTGCCTGTCGATGTGTGTTAGGATTAGTTAGTGCTTATCTTGTGTTGCGAATTTGTTTAAAGCGTAGTCGTTATTTAGAAAGCTCGACTTAATCACCTAGAATCATTTGATTATTATGATGTTTCTTGGTTCGTTGTGTTTATTCGAGTAATAGAGACTCCGGTTGACCAAAGTTCTCATCTTTATTTTCAAGTTCTCAATTGCTTTAAATTTCCAATTGCGATAGTGTTTTATTCAATTCTCAATCCATTGATTAGTATGTTTAGGTTTTCATTTTCTCGTTTTTTGTGTTTTGGGTGATTAAGCAGTAAACGAAGCTCCGAATAGCCTTCCTTTGAAAACGCCTCGAGGTCGGGTAGCTCGGTTACCATCTATCCCACAAAATGCTATTAAGCACTACTCTTCGCTGATTTGTTTCAGACTATAAGGGAATCACCGATGATCTAAATAGTAGAAGCCCTAAGATCGATTATTAACCTTCCTTTGAGAACGACTTAAGGTCGGGTAGCTCAGTTACCATCTAACCCACAAAATGCTATTAAGCAATACTCTCCGCTGACTTGTTTCAGAACCAAAAGGGAATCACCGATGATCTATATAGTAGAAGCCCTAAGATCGATTATTAAGACTTCAAGAGTAGTTTGAAATAGCGATTGTCTGCTTTATGCGCAGCGGCGAATTGAGACCGATTTAAACGGTTCAACGGTTCCAACTTTTGAACATGGAAATAGTTGATTGTGAAGTTATTTAAATAACACACAGTTTTTACTTATGTTTCCAATATGGGATATTTTCACAAATAAATGTTCTTGTTAAAACTATTGGGTCAATGTGGGTCTTACAAGCAAAATTGTACTAATTAAAAGAAAATTGTGCTATTTTTTATATTAGACTATCTATTAAGCTATATCTATTCACGATTTATTGAAGAAGAAAGAAATAATTTATTGCTATTTGATATGCACATAATTTATTTTTTATTATTTTAATCAATAATAAAAAAAACTTAAAATATTATTTAAAAATTAAAATAGAGTTGTTTCCAGGGGCGGATCTAGGTGATAAAGTGAGCGTGTGCATAATTTTTTAATAATACATAATAAAAAATATAAATACAAAATATACCTTTATAGTCATTTTTATGAATTTTCATATCTTGACATTGCTCGATATACCTTTAGAACTCACCAGAGATATATTTGGACTTAAACTAAATCATTTTGAGATATTTTCACATGTACTTTTTTGTCAAGACATTTAAAAAAAAAAAAAAAAAATTAAAAAACCATAATCTTATATGAAAAATAAATTGTAATTAATGTATTAAATACTTTATGTAATATATCAAACTTTGAAGAGTCCTACAATTTAAGTTATCAATCAATCACACACATATTAAAATGTATGATACTAATCTTTTAGATAACAAAAACTAATTAATTAACTACAAGAATGCTAAAAAAATACAAATAAGTGTTTAAGTTTTTCTTTTAAAACTTAATAAAAGGAGTGTTATATCACTTTCACCAAAATCAACACCAACAAAAATTTATTCCGCCTTTATCTCCCTATTTTATTTCCCATTATCTCCTTATTTTCCTTCTTCCTATGTAATGTTTCTTATTTTTTAATTAATGATGTATTAAGTTGTTTACTCAGTCTTAGGTAGCTAGGTAACGCTCAGAATATTAGTTACTATTTATGATGTTTGAGTATACTTCCATAAATATTAAATTTCTAATTTGATGCATTTATTATTATTGATTGCATTAAATTGAATAACTAGTATTAAGGTTTAAGCCATTGATAATTTATTCGATTTTTATTATTAAAGTCGGATTTATTTAGCTCAAGTATCGGTTATATTTTTAAAGCCGAGCCTTGGATTAATCGAGATATTTTTAGCCAATCGAAGCCGAATAATTTAATTATTCGAGCTTATCAAATTTTGAGCGAATCCAATTATTCTAGCCGGCCCATTTAAGTTAAATCGAGCCCACGTTCAATTTTATTTTAGTCAATTTAAAATCGAGCATATAGTCAATTTTAATCGGAGCCCATTATTATTATTTATTTCGACCAACTAATTTAATTAGTCCGAGTTCGATTAATTTTATAAAATCGAGCACCTAATTTCCTAAGTCTACGTCCAATAGATCCCGAGTGTAGGATTTCGTAAGTCCGGTTGTATTAGATACTAAGGCCCGATTTTGGCCCAACAAGAATAAAACCCTAGTCTTCCATGTGGCTATAAATACACAACAATTCCCCTTTTCAAACCCTAGCCCAACACTACCTCATTTCCACTATTCATCATCTTCTCCAACACCATCTTCCATCTTCAAGATTTAGCTCAAAATACACCATTTCTTAGCAAATATCAAGAACAAAAGTTCATTTTCTTAGCTCCTCCATCATTCTTATCCCGAAATCCGGCAACCTCTTTACGTTTCCGGCCACCGTGACCAAGCTCCGGCGAGACCAACCTCAGTCCGCGCCTCCGAGCTTAAGAACCGCTAGAAAATTGCGAACCAGCTCGATCCGCGACCTGTACAGCTCCGTACGAGCACAGCACCGCACCAGCCCGCATCCGCGGTCCACGAGCTCGAACCTTGCCCGCCCTTCACCTGCTCACAAGCCCCGTCGGGCCGTCGCTATCCATCTTCCTCAGCCGCAGCTCGAACGCCGGCGAGCCCCCACACGTCGGAAAACTTCTTCAAGCTCGGAACCACCCCGAGCTCCCATTTCCAGCAAAGCCGCAGCTCATCCTCCACACCAGCGACCTCGATTCTCATCATTATCATCGACTCCAATTCCGGCGACCCCCTTCACGCTGGAAAATGCTCAACCCCGCCACCACAGCTCTGCCTCGAGCCTGCTGTACCACCCGGAGTCCGTACGACGTCCCGTTGCAGCCCTTCGCGCTTCTGGAGTCGCCCCAGCATAGAACCGAGCCATTCCCAGGACTAGATTCGAGCTAGCACACCTCAGTCTGGGCAGGTTCAGCTCGAATTTGAGCACACCTCCTCACTGGCAGGGGTTCTTGTCGTCGAGGCTATCGATTGGGGAGCTTTTCGGGCTCGGGTTGTGCCAGTTCGGGAACAGATCGGGCCTTGTCAAGTTGGATATGGTGACCAAATGCCCTGCACCAATGGTTAGGATGGTGGGTAATTTGGCACTTGAAGCTATTTGATTTAAGGGGAAATAATGTAGGTTGTTTTATGAGTGTTTTTGTCCATTAATTTTTGTTATTCAAAATGCAGTTTTGACCATATTTTGGGATTTCATTTAGTGTAGGAACCAAACTGAAAATACAGACAAGCAAAAAACTTCAACAGACAAGCTAGATATGAAGTAATACATTACTGCAAGAACCAATTGTTGTTGAGTTTTTCCACGAGGCCTTTGTTGTCCAAGCAGCAGCATATAGACTTCCGGCCAGCTTGCACCGCTTTGAGCAAAGACCACCTAACAGCTTTACGCCACATACCTTCTACACTTTCTGAAAACCACAGTAGCTCCTTGAATATGAGAGTAGAATCCCCCTTCATTTTCAACTACACACTCCACAGAAATCTGGTCAAAAGAAGAAATATGGGCACTGACAGTGAGAAACCGTCGACCTACCTGCTGCAAAAATTTTCCTCACTTTCTGATCTCCCTAAACCTTGACACTCTCAATACAACCCACTTTGGCAGTCACCTCCTCAAATTCAAACCACTCTGCCTTGGCTCCCTCAATGGAGAATTGTTCGATTCTTGTTGCCTGTCGATGTGTGTTAGGATTAGTTAGTGCTTATCTTGTGTTGTGAATTTGTTTAAAGCGTAGTCGTTATTTAGAAAGCTCGACTTAATCACCTATAATCGCTTGATTCTTATGATGTTTCTTGGTTCGTTGTGTTTATTCGAGTGATAGAGACTCCGGTTGACCAAAGTTCTCATCTTTATTTTCAAGTTCTCAATTGCTTTCGATTTCCAATTGCGATAGTGTTTTATTCAATTCTCAATCCATTGATTAGTATGTTTAGGTTTTCATTTTCTCGTTTTTTTGTGTTTTGGTCGATTAAGCAGTAGACGAAGCTCCGAATAGCCTTCCTTTGAAAATACCTCGAGGTCGGGTAGCTCGGTTACCATCTACCCCACAAAATGCTATTAAGCACTACTCTTCGCTGATTTGTTTCAGACTAAAAGGGAATCACCGATGATCTAAATAGTAGAAGCCCTAAGATCGATTATTAACCTTCCTTTGAGAACGACTTGAGGTCGGGTAGCTCGGTTACCATCTAACCCACAAAATGTTATTAAGCAATACTCTCCGCTGATTTGTTTCAGAACCAAAAGGGAATCACCGATGATCTATATAGTAGAAGCCCTAAGATCGATTATTAAGACTTCAAGAGTAGTTTGAAATAGCGATTGTCTGCTTTATGCGCAGCGGCGAATTGAGACCGATTTAAACGGTTCAACGGTTCCAACTTTTGAACATTTAAATAGTTGATTGTGAAGTTATTTAAACAGCACACAGTTTTTACTTATGTTTCCAATATGGGATATTTTCACAAATAAATGTTCTTGTTAAAACTATTGGGTCAATGTGGGTCTTACAAGTAAAATTGTACTAACTAAAAGAAAATTGTGCTATTTTTTATATTAGACTATCTATTGGGCTATATCTATTCACGATTTATTGAAGAAGAAAGAAATAATTTATTGCTATTTGATATGCACATAATTTATTTTTTATTATTTTAATCAATAATAAAAAAAAACTTAAAATCATATTTAAAAATTAAAATAGAGTTGTTTCCAGGGGCGGATCTAGGTGATAAAGTGAGCGTGGGCATAATTTTTTAATAATACATAATAAAAAATATAAATACAAAATATACCTTTATAATCATTTTTATGAATTTTCATATCTTGACATTGCTCTATATACCTTTAGAACTCACCAGAAATATATTTGGACTTAAACTAAATCATTTTGAGATATTTTCACATGTACTTTTTTGTCAAGACATTTAAAAAAAAAATTAAAAAACTATAATCTAATATGAAAAATAAATTGTAATTAATGTATTAAATACTTTATGTAATATATCAAACTTTGAAGAGTCCTACAATTTAAGTTATCAATCAATCACACACATATTAAAATGTATGATACTAATCTTTTAGGTAACAAAAACTAATTAATTAACTACAAGAATGCTAAAAAAATACAAATAAGTGTTTAAGTTTTTCTTTTAAAACTTATTAAAAAGGAGTGTTATATCACTTTTACCAAAATCAACACTAACAAGAATTTATTCCGCCTTTATCTCCCTATTTTATTTCCCATTATCTCCTTATTTTCCTTCTTCCTAGGTAATGTTTCTTATTTTTTAATTAATGATGTATTAAGTTGTTTCCTCACTCTTAGGTAGCTAGGTAACGCTCAGGATATTAGTTACTATTTATGATGTTCGAGTATACTTCCATAAATATTAAATTCCTAATTTGATGCATTTATTATTATTGATTGCATTAAATTGAATAACTAGTATTAAGGTTTAAGCCATAGATAATTTATTCGATTTTAATTATTAAAGTCAGATTTATTTAGCTCAAGTATCGGTTATATTTTTAAAGCCGAGCCTTGGATTAATCGAGATATTTTTAGCCAATCGAAGTCGAATAATTTAATTATTCGAGCTTATCAAATTTTGAGCGAATCCAATTATTCTAGCCGGCCCATTTAAGTTAAATCGAGCCCACGTTCAATTTTATTTTAGTCAATTTAAAATCGAGCATATAGTCAATTTTAATCGGAGCCCATTATTATTATTTATTTCGACCAACTAATTTAATTAGTCCGAGTTCGATTAATTTTATAAAATCGAGCACTTAATTTCCTAAGTCTACGTCCAATCGATCCTGCGTGTAGGATTTCGTAAGTCCGGTTGTATTAGATACTAAGGCATGATTTTGGCCCAACAAGAATAAAACCCTAGTCTTCCATGTGGCTATAAATACACAACAATCCCCATTTTCAAACCCTAGCCCAACACCACCTCATATCCACTATTCATCATCTTCTCCAACACCATCTTCCATCTTCAAGATTTAGCTCAAAATACACAATTTCTTAGCAAATATCAAGAACAAAAGTTCATTTTCTTAGCTCCTCCATCATTCTTATCCCGAAATCCGGCAAGCTCTTTACGTTTCCGGCCACCGTGACCAAGTTCTGGGGAGACCAACCTCAGTCCGCGCCTCCCGAGCTAAAGAACCACTGGAAAATTGCGAACCAGCTCGATCTGCGACCTGTACAGCTCCGTACGCGCACAACACCGCACCAGCCCACATCCGCGGTCCACGAGCTCAAACCTTGCATGCCCCTCACCTTCTCACAAGCCCCGTCGGGCCGTCGCTGTCAATCTTCCTCAGCCGCAGCTCGAACGCCGGCGAGCCCCCACACGTCGGAAAACTCCTCCAAGCTCGCAACCACCCTGAGCTCCCATTTCCAGCAAAGCTGCAGCTCACCCTCCACACCGGCGACCTCGGTTCTCATCATTATCGTCGACTCCAGTTCCGACGACCCCCTTCACGCCGGAAAACGCTCAACCCCGCCACCACAGCTCTGCCTCGAGCCTGCTGCACCACCCGGAGTCCGTACGACGTCCCGTTGCAGCCCTTCGCGCTTCTGGAGTCGCCCCAGCATAGAACCGAGCCATTCCCAGGACTAGATTCGAGCTAGCACATCTCAGTCCGGGCAGGTTCAGCTCGAATTCGAGCACACCTCATCACTGGCAGGGGTTCTTGTCGTCGAGGCTATCGATTGGGGAGCTTTTCGGGCTCGGGTTGTGCCAGTTCGGGAACGGATCGTGCCTTGCCAAGTTGGATATGGTGACCAAATGCCCTGCCCCAATGGTTAGGATGTTGGGTAATTTGGCACTTGAAGCTATTTGATTTAAGGGGAAATAATGTAGGTTGTTTTATGAGTGTTTTTGTCCACTAAATTTTGTTATTCAAAATGTAGTTTTGACCATATTTTGGGATTTCATTAAGTGTAGGAACCAAACTGAAAATACACACAAGCAAAAAACTTTAACAGACAAGCTAGATATGAAGTAATACATTACTTCAAGAACCAATTGTTGTTGAGTTCTGCCACGAGGCCTTTGTTGTCCAAGCAGCAGCACATAGACTTCCGGCAAGCTTGCACCGCTTTGAGCAAAGACCACCTCACAGCTTTAAGCCACATACCTTCTACACTTCCTGAAAACCACAGTAGCTCCTTGAATATGAGAGTAGATTCCTCTTCATTTTCAGCTACACACTCCACAGAAATCTGGTCAAAAGAAGAAATATGGGCACTGACAGTGAGAAACCGCCGACCTACCTGCTGCACAAATTTTCCTCACTTTCTGATCTCCCTGAACCATAACACTCTCAATACAACCCACCTTGGCAGTCACCTCCTCAAATTCAGACCACTCTGCCTTGGCTCCCTCAATGGAGGATTGTTCGATTCTTGTTGCCTGTCGATGTGTGTTAGGATTAGTTAGTGCTTATCTTGTGTTGAGAATTTGTTTAAAGCGTAGTCGTTATTTAGAAAGCTCGACTTAATCACCTAGAATCGCTTGATTCTTATGATGTTTCTTGGTTAGTTGTGTTTATTCGAGTGATAGAGACTCCGATTGACCAAAGTTCTCATCTTTATTTTCAAGTTCTCAATTGCTTTCGATTTCCAATTGCGATAGTGTTTTATTCAATTCTCAATTAATTGATTAGTATGTTTAGGTTTTCATTTTCTCGTTTTTTTGTGTTTTGGGCGATTAAGTAGTAGACGAATCTCCGAATAGCCTTCCTTTGAAAACGCCTCGAGGTCGGGTAGCTCGGTTACCATCTACCCCACAAAATGCTATTAAGCACTACTCTTCGCTGATTTGTTTCAGACTAAAAGGGAATCACCGATGATCTAAATAGTTGAAGCCCTAAGATCGATTATTAACCTTCCTTTGAGAACGACTTGAGGTCGGGTAGCTCGTTTACCATCTAACCCACAAAATGCTATTAAGCAATACTCTCCGCTGATTTGTTTCAGAACCAAAAGGGAATCACCGATGATCTATATAGTAGAAGCCCTAAGATCGATTATTAAGACTTCAAGAGTAGTTTGAAATAGCGATTGTCTGCTTTATGCGCAGCGGCGAATTGAGACCGATTTAAACGGTTCAACGGTTCCAACTTTTGAACATGTAAATAGTTGATTGTGAAGTTATTTAAATAGCACACAGTTTTTACTTATGTTTCCAATATGGGATATTTTCACAAATAAATGTTCTTGTTAAAACTATTGGGTCAATGTGGGTCTTACAAGCAAAATTGTACTAATTAAAAGAAAATTGTGCTATTTTTTATATTAGACTATCTATTGGGCTATATCTATTCACGATTTATTGAAGAAGAAAGAAATAATTTATTGCTATTTGATATGCACATAATTTATTTTTTATTATTTTAATCAATAATAAAAAAAACTTAAAATCTTATTTAAAAATTAAAATAGAGTTGTTCCAGGGGCGGATCTAGGTGATAAAGTGAGCGTGGGCATAATTTTTTAATAATACATAATAAAAAATATAAATACAAAATATACCTTTATAGTCATTTTTATGAATTTTCGTATCTTGACATTGCTTTATATACCTTTAGAACTCACCAGAGATATATTTGGACTTAAACTAAATCATTTTGAGATATTTTCACATGTACTTTTTTGTCAAGACATTTAAAAAAAAAATTAAAAAACCATAATCTAATATGAAAAATAAATTGTAATTAATGTATTAAATACTTTATGTAATATATCAACCTTTGAAGAGTCCTACAATTTAAGTTATCAATCAATCACACACATATTAAAATGTATGATACTAATCTTTTAGATAACAAAAACTAATTAATTAACTACAAGAATGCTAAAAAAAATACAAATAAGTGTTTAAGTTTTTCTTTTAAAACTTAATAAAAAAGAGTGTTATATCACTTTCACCAAAATCAACACTAACAAGAATTTATTTCGCCTTTATCTCCCTATTTTATTTCCCATTATCTCCTTATTTTCCTTCTTCCTAGGTAATGTTTCTTATTTTTTAATTCATGATGTATTAAGTTGTTTCCTCAGTCTTAGGTAGCTAGGTAACGCTCAGAATATTAGTTACTATTTATGATGTTCGAGTATACTTCCGTAAATATTAAATTCCTAATTTGATGCATTTATTATTATTGATTGCATTAAATTGAATAACTAGTATTAAGGTTTAAGCCATAGATAATTTATTCGATTTTAATTATTAAAGTCGGATTTATTTAGCTCAAGTATCGGTTATATTTTTAAAGCCGAGCCTTGGATTAATCGAGATTTTTTTAGCCAATCGAAGCCGAATAATTTAATTATTCGAGCTTATCAAATTTTGAGCGAATCCAATTATTCTAGCCGGCCCATTTAAGTTAAATCGAGCCCACGTTCAATTTTATTTTAGTCAATTTAAAATCGAGCATATAGTCAATTTTAATCGGATCCCATTATTATTATTTTATATTTATTTCGACCAACTAATTTAATTAGTCCGAGTTCGATTAATTTTATAAAATCGAGCACTTAATTTCCTAAGTCTACGTCCAATCGATCCCGCGTGTAGGATTTCGTAAGTCCGGTTGTATTAGATATAAGGCCCGATTTTGGCCCAACAAGAATAAAACCCTAGTCTTCCATGTGGCTATAAATACACAACAATCCCCCTTTTCAAACCCTAGCCCAACACCACCTCATTTCCACTATTCATCATCTTCTCCAACACCATCTTCCATCTTCAAGATTTAGCTCAAAATACACCATTTCTTAGCAAATATCAAGAACTAAAGTTCATTTTCTTAGCTCCTCCATCATTCTTATCCCGAAATCCGGCAAGCTCTTTACGTTTCCAGCCACCGTGACCAAGTTCCGGCGAGACCAACCTCAGTCCGCGCCTCCCGAGCTAAAGAACCGCTGGAAAATTGTGAACCAACTCGATCCGCGACCTGTACAGCTCCGTACGCGCACAACACCGCACCAGCCCGCATCCGCGGTCCACGAGCTCGAACCTTGCACGCCCCTCACCTGCTCACAAGCCCCGTCGGGCCGTCGCTGTCCATCTTCCTCAGCCGCAGCTCGAACGCCAGCGAGCCCCCACACGTCGGAAAACTCCTCCAAGCTCACAACCACCCCGAGCTCCCATTTCCAGCAAAGCCGCAGCTCACCCTCCACACCGGCGACCTCGGTTCTCATCATTATCGTTGACTCCAGTTCCGGCGACCCCCCTTCACGCCGGAAAACGCTCAACCCCGCCACCACAGCTCTGCCTCGAGCCTGATGCACCACCCGGAGTCCTTACGACGTCCCGTTGTAGCCCTTCGAGCTTCTGCAGTCGCCCCAGCATAGAACCGAGCCATTCCCAGGACTAGATTCGAGCTAGCACACCTCAGTCCAGGCAGGTTCAGCTCGAATTCGAGCACACCTCATCACTGGCAGGGGTTCTTGTCGTCGAGGCTATCGATTGGGGAGCTTTTCGGGCTCCGGTTGTGCCAGTTCGGGAACGGATCGGGCCTTGCCAAGTTGGATATGGTGACCAAATGCCCTGCCCCAATGGTGAGGATGGTGGGTAATTTGGCACTTGAAGCTATTTGATTTAAGGGGAAATAATGTAGGTTGTTTTATGAGTGTTTTTGTCCACTAAATTTTGTTATTCAAAATGTAGTTTTGACCATATTTTGGGATTTCATTTAGTGTAGGAACCAAACTGAAAATACACACAAGAAAAAAACTTCAACAGACAAGCTAGATATGAAGTAATACATTACTGCAAGAACCAACTGTTGTTGAGTTTTGCCACGAGGCCTTTGTTGTCCAAGCAGCAGCACATAGACTTCCGGCAAGCTTGCACCGCTTTGAGCAAAGACCACCTCACAGCATTAAGCCACATACCTTCTACACTTCCTGAAAACCACAGTAGCTCCTTGAATATGAGAGTAGATTCCCCTTCATTTTCAGCTACACACTCCACAGAAATCTGGTCAACAGAAGAAATATGGGCACTGACAGTGAGAAACCGCCGACCTACCTGCTGCAAAAAATTTCCTCACTTTCTGATCTCCCTGAACCTTAACACTCTCAATACAACCCACCTTGGCAGTCACCTTCTCAAATTCAGACCACTCTGCCTTGGCTCCCTCAATGGAGGATTGTTCGATTCTTTGCCTGTCGATGTGTGTTAGGATTAGTTAGTGCTTATCTTGTGTTGCAAATTTGTTTAAAGCGTAGTCGTTACTTAGAAAGCTCGACTTAATCACCTAGAATCGCTTGACTCTTATGATGTTTCTTGGTTCGTTGTGTTTATTCGAGTGATAGAGACTCCGGTTGACCAAAGTTCTCATCTTTATTTTCAAGTTCTCAATTGCTTTCGATTTCCAATTGCGATAGTGTTTTATTCAATTATCAATCCATTGATTAGTATGTTTAGGTTTTCATTTTCTCGTTTTTTTGTGTTTTGGGCGATTAAGCAGTAGACGAAGCTCCGAATAGCCTTCCTTTGAAAACGCCTCGAGGTCGGGTAGCTCGGTTACCATCTACCCCACAAAATGCTATTAAGCACTACTCTTCGCTGATTTGTTTCAGACTAAACGGGAATCATCGATGATCTAAATAGTAAAAGC